CCAGAATAGCAAAAACAATGCTAAGCAGGAAGTGTGAATCAGGTGGCATAGTGATACCAGACTTCAAACTATACTACAGAGCAATAGTAACAAAAACAGCATGGTACTGGTACCAAAACAGGAGGGTGGACCAATGGTACAGAATAGAGGACATAGAAACCAATCCACAAAACTACAACTCTCTTATATTTGATAAAGGGGCTAAACGCATGCAATGGAGGAAGGATAGCATCTTCAACAAATGGTGCTGGGAAAACTGGAAATCCATATGCAACAAAATGAAACTGAATCCCTTTCTCTTGCCATGCACAAAAGTGAATTCAAAATGGTTCAAGGAGCTTGATATCAAATCAGAGACGCGCCGTCTGATAGAAGAAAAAGTTGGCTCTAATCTACATATTGTGGGGTCGGGCTCCAAATTCCTCAATAGGACACCCATAGCACAAAAGTTAATAACTAGAATCAACAAATGGGACTTACTCAAACTAAAAAGTTTTTTCTCAGCTAAAGAAACAATAAGAGAGGTAAATAGAGAGCCTACATCCTGGGAACAAATCTTTACTCCTCACACTTCAGATAGAGCCCTAATATCCAGAGTATACAAAGAACTCCAAAAATTAGACAATAAGAGAACAAACAACCCAATCAACAAATGGGCCAAGGACCTGAACAGACACTTCTCAGAGGAGGACATACAATCAATCAACAAGTACATGAAAAAATGCTCACCATCTCTAGCAGTCAGAGAAATGCAAATCTAAACCACCCTAAGATACCATCTCACTCCAGTAAGACTGGCAGCCATTATGAAGTCAAACAACAACAAGTGCTGGCAAGGATGTGGGGAAAAGGGTACACTTGTACATTGCTGGTGGGACTGCAAATTGGTGCAGCCAATCTGGAAAGCAGTATGGAGATTTCTTGGAAAGCTGGGAATGGAGCCACCATTTGACCCAGCTATTCCCCTTCTTGGTCTATTCCCTAAAGACCTAAAAAGAGCATGCTACAGGGACACTGCTACATCGATGTTCATAGCAGCACAATTCACAATAGCAAGACTGTGGAACCAACCTAGATGCCCTTCAATAGATGAATGGATAAAAAAAATGTGGCATTTATACACAATGGAGTATTACTCTGCATTAAAAAATGACAAAATCATAGAATTTACAGGGAAATGGATGGCATTAGAGCAGATTATGCTAAGTGAAGCTAGCCAATCCCTAAAAAACAAATGCCAAATGTCTTCTTTGATATAAGGAGAGTACCTAAGAACAGAGTAGGATCGAAGAGCATGAGAAGAAGATTAACATTAAACAGGGATGAGAGGTGGGAGGGAAAGGGAGAGAGAAGGGAAATTGCATGGAAATATAAGGAGACCCTCAGAGTTATACAAAAGTACATACAAGAGGAAGTGAGGGGAAAGGGAGAAATAATACAAGGGGGACAAATGAATGTCAGTAGAGGGGGCAGAGAGAGAAGAGGGGAGGGGAGGGGAGGGGAGGGGGGATAGTAGAGGATAGGAAAGGCAGCAGAACACAACAGACACTAGTATGGCAATATGTAAATCAATGGATGTGTAACTGATGTGATTCTGCAATCTGTATATGGGGTAAAAATGGGAGCTCATAACCCACTTGAATCAAAGTGTGAAATATGATATATCAAGAACTATGTAATGTTTTGAACAGCCAGCAATAAAAAATTAAAAAAAAATGTGATGATACATTGTAATCCAAAATAACCTCAACCACAGCTCAGCCTTTCAAATTATGGAGGCAAATACTGGAATGGAAAGGTATCCCAAATATAAAGCTTCATTTTTTAAAGCCCCTTAAAAAAATCACTGCTTTCAGGATACTAACTTAACTAAAGCCCATAATTTTATAAGTTTTTTTGCGGGGGCGAGGGGGAGGCCTTAGGTTTTAAGCTCTGGCTGTCAGAGCTGAAATACAGGAAACAGTCTTATTATCTCTTTAATTTTTATATAAGTCATATCAGATAAGTTATATGGAAAACACTGCCCCATATAATGTGATGCTAAGCACATATTTGTTAATTTTTAAAATTTATAGTAAGATGAAAAATGAATAAAAATAGCAACTTTGAAAAGCCAAAAAAAAAAAA